CAATCAACCATAAACATCAAATCGACTCCTCCATTAGCCTTCTCCCGGGTCACACTGTAGTGCGCATGCAGTCGCAGATGACTGTCGCTATGAGAAACATCAAATAAGATCTATGATCACTATCCTAACTTCTTTCTCTACAATCAAGATTGCGGATCATATTCCGTTTCCATATAAACAGGAGCTTAATCAGATACCCGTAAGGGAGGGCCTTGGATCCTTCACGATCGTCGTCGAGGCTCCAAATTCAAGTTTGTTGCAAACGATCGCTCCTCGGAACGCGCAGATCCTCCTTCAGCCCACAGATATGCTACTCTAAGACACATGAAGAGCAATTCCTCTGCTTCACCTGTGGTCGAACCTGACTAATTGGGCGCTCGAATCTGTAGCGGTCGTGAACATTCCGGTACACTCAAGTGTCTGTCAAAGTTTCCATCTATCTGTTCATACATGTGTGTCCCGATTATTCTGTGTATTCAGCTATCGAGGAATGGACATCATCAGCGATTTCTTCATTCTCAAGCGACTGCACATCCTCGGATCAGTTCGAACTTGGCTCGAATGCGTCCTTCGCTACCCGCTCGTGCGGTTTGAATTCTCCTTACGAGTATTTTGCGGACGGATCCCCGAAATATGATGAGCCGACATTTGAAGTCGGCCAGTGAATGCTGGGTGGTAGCCGTCTCTGCGATTTTTCCGCCAATAATTTTTTTCCCGTGTCGATCTTTCCAACACAACACGAAACGAAGGAACAAGTAAAGCCCAATATCGATTCTATTTGTCTCGGTCACCGGAGAACACGCGCCTAAGCAACTGCGTTATCAACTCAGTACACTACTCTTTGAACAATCGTTGCGTTTAGCAAGCAATTTCACCACTGAAAAAGAGAAAACCGGAAGCAATATCCGACCGAACCACGGCTCGATTGGTTAGAATCATGTATCCATTTATTGCGAAGAGAAACGATTGAGATCACTACCATTGTCAGTTGAATCCAACCAGCAAGTCTAGAGGGGAGCATGTCTCCGCGAGTCAGGATCCCGAGTTCGTCTATTCGACACCCGACTCTCATAGCACAGCATTCCCATGTCAATCACGGCATGATCCGGCCAGAATGACATCACACAGAAAACATTATCTTGGGGGAAATAGCTCTTCAATTCCTACTTTCCAAGCAACCTGCGACTGATCGTCGCAGAGTGCGGAGGGTCCCATCGGCATGACTGGTGAGGGCATGTGTTACGGATCTGCTCCACGGGAAGTCTTCCCTCGATCTCTGACAGGTTTTGAATGGTATCTGCATAATATTAAAACCGAACACCGTCAGACGCTGGCTATCAACTTGGCATTTGACTCATGATCCATCTCATGGGGATGACTCTTTCGAATCAATCAACATCGAAAGAAACATGGTGAACAACGGTGACCGCCTAGAAGGCAATAATGACGAATGATTAATGATGTATTTCGAATACGGGTTTGGCTTTCGAGTGCAACATTTATGCAACTCACCGAATTCTCTCATAGATTCCAGCAAAAAGTGAAGTTTATCATCTGAGATATTTTCGTGCAGTACAAATAACGGGTCCTTTTCAGAAATGATTCGTGTTCGAGTTGGATGTTTCCAACTGCTCTGAGTGTCATTCGAAAAGTACGCTAGTTTTGAGTGGCGGCCTCCTTGGCTTAGTCGTGGCGTGGATTGATTATTTGATTGACTGATTGATTAGTTGCCTGATCGATTGGTCAGCTGACTGACTGATGCATAAACAACTAGAACAACTCTCAACGACGGCCAGCCCCGAGCGCGCCTTGGAGTGACGATAATTGCATGACACCCGAAACACCTGATACTAAAGTACCAATTACTAACATCGATTCCACTGTTGAAATTGAGATCGAAGGATTTGACACCGGAATCCAACGGGAATGACATCGTCGATCTTGACACCATAGACGATCTGAAGCAATCAACGAACTCACAAACCAACTAACCAACCACAACGACATCGACAAGAATTTTTCTCGAAGTTCCTGGGGAAAGTGTCCTCTCCCGCACAAAGTAGAACGAGTTACAGTTACTGAGGGCGGTTCTCCCACGAATCCAAGATCCGGTACGGAACATGTCGACATTGAGGTCAAGCTATGCTGATTAACCTATGATATACAACATTTTGTGCTGGTGTTACGAAGCTCTGCGAAGAACATGGATGTAACCACTATCCAACTACTCAACGATAATAATTGAGCCAATAACTATGATAATGATGATGATAAGAAAAAAGACAATAATTATGACGATGCTGACCATGATGACTAATAGGATGATTACAATTATTATTATTATAACAATAAAACGAAGAAACTTTTTGTTCAAAAAGCCAGGTGTCTTGATTTCCCATCATCTCTCTCCTTTTCAATCTGCCTCAGATCAGGCTCACCAATGTTCGGCGGACTTATTCCGAGTCGGGGCTCACGCAAGAAGGGCCTTCATCCTCGCACACGAACCCGAGTATCCCCGTGCGGCCGCTGTGAGCGACCGGGACTAGAAGAAAAGAGACTCCCGTCGCGTCGCGTGAAACGTCTCCCCCACGCCTCTGTTTTTCTAGACGATTTTTTTTGGGAGTTTTGTTCACATCAGCCCCAAACTCCAGTTTCATTTTCCACTCTTTTAGGTCGTGCGAAGAAGTATCGTCGCTCCAAGGCTCGTTTACCTTCCCCTCACTTTCCCTTACTTTCGCAGTCGCTCTTCCTCCCGAGAATTATAGGGCCGCCGCTTGGTACCAGCTTCGATACCGCTGGAGATTCATCGATGAAGTAACTCGAGTTCAGCACCGTGAGCGGATGATCTCGTCCTTAGTTAGGGCTGTGAGAAATCGAGGAATATTTTCATCGTTTCCCGTGATTTTCGGCCAAATCCCGCGATTTCTGCGACAGGGTTTTCCTGTGATTGCCTTTGACTACCGGACGATTTGGGATTTAGGATGACTTTACTTGACGATAGGGCTTCCATGGAAGCCTCCATGCCACCTTCCTCTGAACTAGGAATTAATCCGGAAAAGGACCATGGAATGATAGCGGCGAATGCTTCGGATACACTGTTGGTCGCTTCATGTTTGTTCAGCCTAGAAACTCGTGAATTGAACAGGGAGCGTGTTTCAGGCCTCGCAGCTGATCGCGTCGGTGATTCCACCGCTCGATTACAGGCAGCATGAGTGTTGGGGAATCTTCTTTGATCAGAAAGTTGAAAATGGAAAAGATGGCTAAAAATATCAGCCCGATCGAGCGAAACATTTCAACGAGGGAACATTCCATGTAAGTGGCGGACTCCTATTCTGCAACACCTTTAAGGCCCCAGTGGATAAACTGCGGAAAGATTCATGCACGAGACATGACGGTAGGGCTGTTCATCGAAAGAAAGTCGAATCCGTGTTGAGCTCGCTAGCATTGGTCTGCGTCGGAATGACTCACGCAGAAGACGTTCTCAATGTTCTTCCAGTGCCGTGCCTCCGAAATCAGTCAGAGAAGCCGTCGCAAAAATTGAAACGTTTCCTTCTAAACTCAATAGCTCCGGCAAGGATGAGCTTCGAGACCGTCAGCCAGAGTATCCTTACGGAACTTTGGAAATACTAAATACTGTGCTCGGAAGTAAGCGCATTTGTAACAGATGATGCCGCTCACATGCACACAGCTTGGGGCTCCACCTTGAAAGCCGTGCTCTTGCTTGCGTGCTTGCCAGCACCCGTGATTACGCGCTGATACACTTGCTTCCACGCTGTACTTTACCATGTTCCCAATTCGGATGTTCCCCCACGACTACGTGGATTTCTTCTCCACGGAAGCTGGGTCGGGTTCCAGAGCATGCGTTCCCCGAGTTCTTGACTTGAGCCAATGCCTCGAGATCGTCGATGATCTGGTTTGCCTCTAAGAGTATGGTGCTTGCACACAACGGAAGCAGAGGACGTTCCAGCACACGTCGTTATCAGGAACTCGAAACGCTGGCTGAATGGCTAGAAGTCTGCAAGACGTTTGTACTCAACGCGCATGAACGAGAAGCTCTGGAACGGACGCAAGGAAAGCTACGGCTGTACATGTCTGAGGGTAGAGTAGCACGATTTCGCCAGCCGGTGACCGAGTTCTCCGTCGCTTGCCCATTGTTCGAGTATGTTTGAATCACCGATATCGAGCTTGAATATGTTTTCAGACACATTCCTTGGTTCGACGAAAATTACCTCGCGAAAGCGGAGTCAGGGTTTTTCTCAGCTCCGGAAAAGATCTCATTTGGTTCAAGAAGTCCGTCAATTTTCGGTCCGCTCTGATTGAACGATTCCCGGCGGTGCACGTCAACCCGGCCGCGGCGTAAACTCGGCCACAGCGTCAACCCGGCCCCGATGGCCACGGCGTCAACCCGATGGAACTGTCTTTGAGCGAGCAGGAGGTGGATGACCGCGTCTTTAAACGCTTGTTCTCCGAGAGGAACTTTGATGTCTTTTCCGAAGTGCGACAGTCGCCCTCACGTCGTGAAGTCGCCCTGTTCCCAAATGAGAAGGCTAAGAGCTCCGTGGTTGACCATTCGTTTGCATGGCGAAAAGAGGGGCTGAGGAGGAGGCAGAGAGAAAGGCCTCGGTTGGTGAAGCGGAGGCTGTGGACGAAGGCCGCGATAGCGACGACATTTTAGATGGTGAGTTCTCATTTCCAGACGTCAGCCATCGTGACCGAGAAAGTTCCATTCGGCCGTTGGAGACTCTCCATTTGAAGATCCTCCATTCGAGAATCCTATTTTCGAAGATCCTCCATTTGAAGATCCTCCATTTGGAGATCCTCCATTCGAAGATTGTTGTGTAATCGCTCAATGATTACAAGGAAGTGGAATCACTAGTATATAAGCCGCTGCCAATAAACGGTCATTCATTAGCCACTCGGTAACGTGAACGCCTCGTAGTCTCTTTAGTGTCATGCACAACATTGGCGCAATCGCAGTTTTCTTTAACCTTGTGTGAATCATGTCTAAGGATGATGATACGACGTTCTCGGACGCCAAGAGTGATCAAGATCTGCAAGGAATTCTCGCTTCTATGGCTCGGGCCATTCGGCAGATGGCGGAGCGTCAGAGCAAGCAGGAGGCTGCCACGTCATCTACAGTGCAGAACACTGCATTGCTGCTTGGGACGTTCCTCTACGACCCAGACCAGGATCCCACATACAAGAACTGGTTCGCTCGCAATCGCTCAATCCTGGAGGAGTCCAGTTCGGTAGAAAAGTTGAGATCGCAACTGCTCCTTAAGGCACTGGGTCCGAATGAGTATTCGAGGTTACTCAGCCGACTGTCCCCAGCTCGTCCGGAAGAAAAAGACTACGCAGAGTTGGTCGAACTCTTAACCAAGGTATTCGGGCCGTCGAAATCTGTTCTCCGGCGTCGTCACGATATTCTCTGCCAAGCTGCCCCGCTGTCCGCTTCGTCGAATCCAGAGGAGATCATCGACTGGGCTAACTTGAAGGGGGATCAGTTCGAATTCGGTAGCATGGACGTCGAAAAGTTCAAGATTTTTCTCGCCATCAATTATGCTGCCGGTCCGTCGTTCAAGACTCTACGCAGCATCATGCTCAAGGCTGTCGACGACAGACCCGAACTCACAGTCGCGGAGCTGCGTGAGGTGCTTATCCGGTTCGCGGCTCGTACGCGTGACTCTACGTCGGACAATTCAGTTGACCAATCATCTAGCATCAAGCAGGTTCATAAGAAGCTGACCCGTCAGTCGCCCAAACCGCATTCTGAACCGAGACCGCAAGGTACCTACAGGCAGAACTCAACTTGTGGTGGCTGCGGAGGTGATCACACCCGTCACAGTTGCGAGTGGAGGACCGCGAAGTGTCGTAGGTGTGGAAAGAAGGGTCATCTGGCGAGCAAGGAGAACCTGTCACTAGGCGTGAGCAGCCTCCGCGCAACGTCAAGAAACCGACTGATTACGCAGCATTGGGAAGAGGCTTGAGTCGTCTCTTCGGACGAGCCGACTAGGTCGGGAGGTGTTGTGTAATCGCTCAATGATTACAACGAAGTGGAATCACTAGTATATAAGCCGCTGCCAATGAACGGTCATTCATTAGCAACTCGGTAACGTGAACGCCTCGTAGTCTCTTTAGTACACATCAAAAATCCTCCATTCGAAGATCCTCCATTTGTAGATCCTCAATTTAAAGATCCTCCATTTGAATATCCTCCATTTGAAAATCCTCCATCCGAAGATCCTGCACTTGAAGATCCTCCATCCAATCGATCAAAGTCTTTATTCACTCGTATTGAGTGGTTTCTACCTATCTCAGTAAGTAATTACATTTTTCTCTTCATTTGGTCTCTCGGTTTGGAGATCATTCAGTGATTTCACATTGGGGCATTCTCGAGCGTGGTATTTGGGACAGAGTTCGGAACATCTTCTGCATATACAATCGTCGGATGGTTCGTGGAATCCTTGAGTTTTACAGAGTAAATGATGAAAGCCGTGTACAGCGAATCTAGTTACAATGTGTCGGTTCGTCCTTCCCGGTTTTTTCCAGGAGTCCATTGTCATTGCTTCCGCTGAATAGAAGCTCTCGTCAACTTCATCGAATTTTTCTTTCCATGCGCGTTGGTGGGTCTTGTATGCTTCAGTTTCCTCTAGGTTGTGTCGCTTCTTCACGTCCTCCGTGAGGGTCGACGCACCCGTCAAGAGATAGGCCAGGCGATTCCTCGTCGTGTGGTGAAGCCGGAGGGTTCGCTCGATGAATGTGGCCTTCGTTTTGTCAAGAGCTGTCCTATCGTTGGTCGTGAGGAATGGCCAGACTGGTTCGATTCCGAACTCGGCTACTGGTGCGATCTTGATGTCGAACAGGCGGAGTGCCGTGTTGACCGACAGCATGTGAGGGGATTCCAGTGGCGGCGCCAGCGGGAAGCTTTGTAAGCTATAGCTTCCCAAGCCTCTGAAGTCGGAAAGCTTAGCTTCCTAAAAATTTTCCGATCATAGATATGTTCCATCGGTTTCGGAGCATTCAGACTGCTGCTGTCGATCATGCCGGGTTGAATTTCTCGAGGTCACGAGAAAGACTTGATCGCGCACATGCGCTTGGACGCACTACACGCACGCAACCCCAAAACGGGGGTTTCCTCTTTCATGATCGGTGACACCCCAGCTGATATCCGTCATCAACATCTGACCGAGAGCTGAGAACTTCCAAATCAAATCGTGGACGAATTCGCCGAAGGCAAAGTTCGGAGAATTCCCCTAGTGGTATGACTGTGATTCAGACGCTTAAGTGAGTCGTATCTCAGCTCGTCGCTAGGAAAGTAACATAAGACGGAACGCGGAAAGTCTCCGCTGTTTCTACTATGTAATGTACATAGATATGTATGATTGCATCTATGCAACACTAGTACTTGCCCTATAAAGTAAATCTTTGTGTCTCCGAGCGCGCTGACTTCCTTGTTCGGGGGAAGCTCTATCCAAGAAAAATTCAAGCTTCCCAAGAAAAAATGGCTGGCGCCGCCACTGGGGGATTCTATAGATCGCATGGTCAGGGTCGCTCGGTTGCATCGGTCTTTCACGTGCCCCATAAACGAGGATCCGCAGTGATGAATCGTGACCGCGAGGTATTTGAAGCTAATCACGAACTCAAGTCTGTTGCCTCCTATCGTTAGAACATCCTTCACTGATATTCGTCCTCCTTTTCGACATTTCATTGCATCCGTCTTTTTTGTGTTGACCGCTAGTCCAAGCGTCTTCGACATTGTGTTCAGTCTGCATAGAGCTCCTTGGACGAGTAGGCGTTCCGGACTGTATATGACTACGTCATCCGCGTACAACAGAATTTTGATCCGGCTGTTCCCTCGATGAACTTCGGCGGGGAGGTCTTTCAGAAGAACTGAAAACATCAATGGGCTCAATGCGTCCCCTTGTGCGAGGCCAGTAGTTTGCTCACAGGAGGGGTGTTCCACGATTCCATCCTTCAGAGCTATGGAGTTGGCTTGGAGGATCGATGTCAGTGAGGCGAGAATCTTGTTCGGAACTCCCGCCTTTGTCAACAGCTCCATCACAAGGTCTCTTGGAGCGGAGTCAGAAGCCGTGCGGTAGTCTACGAAGACAGCGTACATGAACTGACCCTGTTTCTCGAGGCTCTCTTGAATGTCTTCCAGAAGAATCTTGCAGGCGTTGCTCGTCGATTTGTCCCTTCTGAAGCCGTGTTGCTCCTTCGGGATGATCCCGAGCGCCTCGAGGTAGTCGCTAAGTCGGGTGGTTAGGATTCTTGTCAGGATCTTGTATCCCGTATTCTTCTTTGCAATTCTTCTCCAGGACTCTGGTTTTGAAGCATCTCCTTTCCCTTTCGGAATCACTGTAAGTAGCGTGTCGCGCCACTTTTTGGGTATCGATCCTGTTTTCAGACATTCATTGAACAGTGCCTGCCAACAGGGAGCGAGGAAGAGGGAGTTTTTTGATGTGTTCATTGGTAATGAGATC